CAGATCTCTGCATCGTTCAGTTCACAATTCATATACACCGTGGACCAATCTGCACGTGGCCTATGTATTAGCCCATCATCAATAGAGTTGAGCGTTAGGCAGTACTCGGAGCTGAAGGACACACGACGTCCGTTCAGCTGGAAGCCCTTGTGCAAGGCATGGGACATCCAGTAGAGCACCTGGAACTTATGCAGACACATCTGCAGATTGGCCTTCTTGTAGTGCCGGCTTAGCTGCTTCTTGCGTGGACGCACATTGTTGAAAACTGGACCACGACGTGTGGGCCGCGTGACGCCTGACAGAATGAGCTTCAGACTCTCAAACCAGCGCAGTGTGCTGCCGTACAGCACCAAGCTGGGTATATCGAATTCCATTTCCTCAGCCACCTTGGGCTTCGTCTCGAAAGATGCCCAGATATTGAGGTTGAGCGAGCGAAAAGCACGAAATGAATCATGCACCTGGTTGCTGGAATATTCCGGCAGCTTGTCGGGTGCACAGGGCATGACAGCATGATGATCATTGGGATTGGCCAGACAAACCCAGTTCAGCTTAAAAGTCAGCTTCAGGTTAGGAAAATGCAGCAGTCGACAATCGTCATAGCGAGACGCTGTTCGCACCGTCACCTACGAGAATTTGTGTTAAAGGACGCTCTAAAGGACTCCATCCACACACTTACATTGAGCTCACCCTTGAACATAATCTTTGCGTTTGTCCAAACAATGCCACAATTGTTCCACGTCAGCTCCATTTCCTCAGTTGTGTTGTAAGGATCGAGCGAAGCGTGCAGAAGCACCGTGAACTGTTTAGCAATCAGGGTTAGGCGGCCATGAAGCAGTAAACGCATCTTATCCCAAAACGGAAGAGGTGGACTTGGATCCTTGGATGGCGCTGAAATCTTCTCAAAGCTCAAATTACATTGGGCCATCACGGGCTCCCAGCAAGGGCCGAACGCATAGCTGCAGCTCTCCAGCTCGCAGTCGAAGTCATGATAGAATTTAATCGTTGGCATGCTACGCTGCACCACATCCGTTTGGAAGGGCTCGCCCACCTCGACGAAGACATCTCGCTTTGCACGCTTTGAGGGCATCTGCTCTGCTCCACAAAGGTTGCCATAGAGGCGCATGCTCTTTACATAGAACATGGGTTGAGGGAAGTCGCTGCGTGTGATAAATATATATTTAATCTGTTGGTTTCATATAGCTATCCAAACTTACCGCAGCATAAACTTCCATTCGGAGCAGCTTATGTTTACGCCACGGCACCACAGGGTGGAAAATTGCAGTCCCTCTTCCGGCCACGGGCTTTCCGAGTCGATCTCGCGCATGGTACGCGTCACATTGTCGTAGCCGTGTATTGAAGTATCCGCCATTGCCAAGATTTCCACATCGGTCATGATCCAAGCGAGCAGGCGTGTGCGCACTGGCCCACTTTCCCGTATTTTCTTGGAGCGTTGTATGTAGATCTCTGAGTTCTTCTTGACCAGATTCGCGTAGAGACTTTCAATGGTGCCTGCGGGCACCAGCAACCGTTCCGAGCACAATTCAGCAATCTTCATATCAAACAAAGACTTCCGCTTCAGACTCTCGAGATATTCGTCGACCAAGAGCACATAGTTATCACGCAGCTTCACTTCGAACGGATCGTCACTGATCTCCAGCAGAAACTCTTTGATCTTTATCACCCAGTCGCTGGGAAGAGGAGAATTCACTGTAAACGGTTTCTTCTTGTAGTTGTGCACCAGCTTCAGCCATTTGTAATGGGTGACGCACTCATTGTTGATGGCATCATAAAAATCATGATCATATGGGAAAATCGCCTTGAAGGAGCCAATGGTGGTCACCCACACCTTGTTGGTGGGCAGCACAAAGCCTGGAAAGTTAAGCCGTTCATGGCTAAGCGTTTCCAGATGCGACAGTGATTGCATGTCCAGTTCTTTGACAGTAAAGATATGCTGATCATCGATTCTGACAAAGACCTTCTCCGCGTAGATAATATTGCGCTCCTTGTGGCTGAAGAAGAGATTCTCTACGTACAGCTGTATTGAATGACGTTCCGATAGCTTCAGCTCAAAAACAGTGCTGCGCTCCGCGGACAGCTCAATAATCAGGGAACGTTTCGGCTTCTGGTTGTCTGTGCTATTGGATGGCGGCATGGCTAGCTCTGCCTTGAGGTCTTTCATATCCCGCACAAGAGTTAACAGATGCATGTGCAAATTGGAGCTCCACATGGCCTCGGTGTTGCCGGGTATATAAATGGACAGCTTGCCGGGCGTACATTCAAACGCTGGCTGATGCTCCAGCCGTATCATCTTGCAACTGGCAAACACATCTGAAAAGTCCGTGAGACACAGCGACGACGCAGTCATCGAGCGCATGATGGCCATTTGGAACTCCTCCAGCTTAAGAGTTGCGAAATTGTGGGCACGTGTCAAATTAATCTCTGAGAAGCTCAGCAGCATGTAAACATTATGATGGTTGACAAAATATGCCGTAATATCCTTAACCTTAACAGAAACACGCAGCGCCGTTCCACTGGGCTGCTCTCCAGCTACACTGCTAGGTGGACGTTGCGATTGCTTGGCACGCTTTGTGCCTAGTCCTCCATACTGCTTTACACACCACATCGACTTGACAATAAATTCGGCCAATTGCATGCTGTACTCGGTGCGGAACGTGTGCACGGAGATGTCCAGTTTCGTGGTATTTGCATAGGAGCACAACTTGACTAGGCTGACGCCCAGGAAGAATGGAGAGCCCGGTGAATGCGTCTTCTTCAGGTTGTTTGTATCGTTGTTGGAGTTGCCCAGATTAGACCACAGCGTTTCCACCATTAGTTCCATGCTCCATTGCCGCTGATTGAGCAACAAATTGAGAAACTTATTGCGATATAGAGAACTGCGCTTTTCCTCGATCTGCTCGAGCAGAAAACGCGTGTGACTAACACTCATGGCGATGTGTTCATCTTCCAGTTTCATGAGCAGCGAAACGTTCCACAGCTCGGCACAGCCTTTGACCACAATGCGCTGCATAATCCACTCCAGAATACCTCCATCACGACGCTGTTTGGTTGGCGATGTTAGAGGAGTGAGTGCGTCCAAACATAAATGATCCGGCAGCGACATTTGCTTATTGCCCAACTGCAGTAACTGATGACTGCTGCTTGCTCGCTGTCGAGCCAGAAAATTATTGTTTACAAAATCATAGATCTCGCTATGATTGTAAATAATTTGGAATGTCTTGAGCTTCACATATAGATTAAATATGTCCTTTTCCAGCTGAAAAAGGGATATTAGTGTATAGGATGCAGACAACAATATTTAATGAGTAGCTAACTAACCACTGAGTCTATAGTAAATTGCTCCACGAAGAGCAGTTTCTCGTATTTGGTATCAATGTCCAGATGTTGAAAAACCAACTTGGCCAACATCGAGGGCAGCAGAGTCTTTTCATCCACAATCTTTGAGTTGAATTTACCTGTTATCTATAAAATAATAAAAACCGTTTTTATTAGTCTTATTTAACCTAATTGGAAGTGCAATTTGGCCTACGGTAAAAAGCTGTAATTTAGCACTAAAATCATTTTGTGAGTTTTCCTTCACGGCGGAAAATGTTGCTGCCTTAACGCTAAAGTTGAAGTTCTTTGGAATAATGGGCGCCAGCTTCTCATAGTTGTCGTTGTCATAGCTGCTTGCACTTGGTGTGAATGCCTGCTGTAAAGTTTTCGACTTTTGACCAGGATTGGTGCGCTGCTTGGCCTCGGTAAGGAACTCGTAGAGACCTCCATGTATCACTGACTTGCAATTGTTAATGACCAAGCTGAGAGTCTAAAAATGAAGAGTACATTAGTCGATATATATGTATATTTACATATATATCACCACTTACGTCCATGGAAAGTGGTCCGTGGGCAAAGAGAGAAGCATCAAGTGCTACATCGAAGCTGACTTCACCCAAGCATGGACGAATTTTATTCAAATTCTCCAAGGACTGTCGCCTAGCATTGCAATGCCGTAACATCTTAGCCTGCGCCTCAGACAACGCTGCATTGACAAGCAAAACTCTCGCATTTTGCACAATGCTTCCATCCAAATGCAGCTCCTTGGCTGTGGCATGTATAAACCAGCCCGGATCGAAGTCATTATTCATTAACACCACTGATATGTTATTCACATGCACAGCCATAAATTGTGCAAATGTTATAATGCTTGCGGGCACCTTGCTTTCGCGGAAGTCGGGTACACCTCTGCCCTCGGCCTTCTGTTTACGCGGCTCGTAATAGAACCCATCGCTGACGTCATCCTGCCGATTGCTGTGTATATCCTTATTGATACGTATGTCGCGCACATAGATTGATACCAACTTGGTTACCTCAGTGGTGAAGAATCGACTGCGCAGGCAAACCTCCTCGACTTGCTAAAAGCACGAGAATTTTTATATTATAGGGGCGTTTCATTACGGTGTAATTAACTCGCACTTACGACTGAGAAACCGCTTTTGCTGATGTGGACATTCTTAAGCGACAAATAAGGAAGCGAAATGCGACCAATACGAACTTTAACCCGAAAACGTTTAATTAAATACCAACTTATACCCGTGGGTAAAATCCTAATTAGATAATGAGGAAAACCATTAGCTTAACGCTGTTTTTGAGTTACCATCGGTGCGTCTGCACTTACCAGTAAATAAAGAGAAAAATTAGTAAAACAACTATTAGTAACTGTAACATTTTCACAATTTAAATATTATTGCACGCCCATAATATTTAATAAGCTAATCTAAATGTAACTAATATCGCTTAAATTTTGATAAACTAATTTGTGTTCGTTTTCGCTCTTCCAATTTTAGCGTCTGTTGCTTGGGCAGATATAGCCCAACAAACAGCTGTTTATGTTTATGTCACTTGTGTGTGACCAAGTAATACATATAGCGGATTGCTTCGACACAATATGTAAGTATATCGATAAAAACATATCGACCAAGCTGTTTATGGCATCGATACCTTAGTTGGTTTTGCAAATATTTTCGGCACTTCTACATAAAAGTATAAAATATAAAAACAATAATAAGAAAAATATTCGAGTCAGCAAAACATGTCGTTTCATTTAAGTACTAAAGAGCGATTATTACTGCTAATTGATGATATTGAAATGATATCTAAGGAACTAATAGAACAAGCGCATCAAAAAATATCCAGCACCGAATTGGCGGATTTGCTCGACTTGTTGGTTTCCAAAGAAGAGGAGTTTAGAAAAATGTTGGAGTTGGCAGAGGAGCAGGCCAAAGTGGAGGAAGCAATGGACAAACTACGTGCTAAAGTCGAAATACATGTAAGCCAAATTGTTACAACTGATATACATTTGATGTAAAACCAAAATTTCATTTTAGGATCGTGAGATACAAAAGCTGCAAAAATCACTGAAAGATGCCGAGCTTATACTGTCCACAGCCATATTTCAGGCACGTCAAAAGCTGGCCAGCATTAATCAGGCCAATAAGCGTCCGGTTTCATCTGAGGAGCTCATAAAATATGCACACCGCATTAGTTCAGCAAATGCAGTGAGCGCTCCATTGACTTGGTGTATTGGGGATCTTCGAAGGCCATATCCTACAGACATTGAAATGCGGAATGGACTTTTGGGTAAATCTGAACAGAATATAAACGGTGGACTTGTCGCGCATCAAAATAGCGCTATTCAGTCAGAAGCCCAGCGCAATTTGAGCGGTACTGGCGGCAGCAACGCTGGCAGTGGAAACGAAGTACCAAACGCATTCCAAAATCAATTCAGCTGGAATCTTGGTGAGCTGCACATGATGGGAGCATCTGGCAACTCTGTAGCCCTAGAAACACGTGCACACAAGGAATCTTCAGCTCAGGATGATGTTGAGGTCATGTCCACAGACAGCTCAAGTTCTAGTTCAAGTGATTCGCAATAGATGCACAAATAGTAATAGTGTAGCAATTAGGACAGAGTTTTATATATATATTACGTAATATTAAAAAACAAATATATTTATAAGTGTAAATTTTTATAAATGTATATACATAGCTAAACATCTATTTAAAAACCATCCTTGCGCGATATCGATGGCGACTTGTGGTGTTTGCACAGTTATCGACATTCACACATCAATACGCGAGAGAATGGCAATTAATTTGCTGGCATCGCCAATCACACGGAAATAATTCGACAAATTTTAGTTTTTTAATGGAAACAGAAAGGCTTTAAATTTTGCCTGTATATGATATATAACTCTGTTTACGATAAAACAGTCTATTCTGTAATGTGTGAGTGTGTGTGTTTGCGGTATAGCTAATGCAAAGGCCTTGAAAATTGTTACGAAAAACTGACTGACGACGTACGGAGTGGTGAGGTACGTGCTTTAAGAAGAAGAGAAGCCTCGCCAGCGCAATATTAGAAGTGGTGGTCAGGGAACAGCAGCAGTAGAAGCAGCAGAACCGCAGCACACCCCGCATTAATGTTACACACACACAAGACACTCTTTTTCCATTAAATTTCTGGAAAATTGCACATTGTGCGGATTGACTGCAGCATGATCCATTGCATGTATCTAGCTTACGTATGTAAAGCATAAAAGGCCCCTAGAAAACTGATACTGTTACCGAAACCGGATTAAAAGTGTAACTAGGGCGCCCCAGCTAAGTGAAAAGCTCGTGGCGTCGTGGCTTCGGAGCGGATATAGAGTTTCTACAAACAGTTTGACATTAAACTCAAAAATCATGATGATACAAGAGCCCGTACAGGTAAATCGATAGCAAACGATTACAGTAAAAAAAAATCATACATTTTTTCTATATTTATTTCCAATCTACTTTGAATAGGCCGCCATATGGCACTGTCTGAACCACTACGATAATAGAGATGCAGTTTTCCTGGCGGAACGCCTCTGCTCAGAAGGTTAGTAAGGCCTTCACTTCTTATACCTAAATATAAAAAATATATATTTGATATGCATTGTTCTTGCAGTGGAAAGCGATGAGACAATATATTTGTTAGCCACCAGCTATTATCGTTCAAATCAATTGGATCAAGCTTATTGGCTGCTACAAGAGAAGTCGCGACGCTCGCCCCAATGTCGCTACTTGCAGGCCAAATGCGCCTACGAGCTGAAAAAGTATGCAGAGGCCGAAAGTGCTCTAGTTTCGAGTGGGTTTGCGGATAACAAACATTTTGATGAGCTGCAACGTGAGTTTGGAGATATCGCCTGTTTCGCTTATCAATTGGTGGCGCAGATTTGTATGCGCACAGAGCGCCAGAAGTTGGCGGTGACTGCACTACGACGAGCGCTCAAACTAAACCCTTTTATGTGGCATGCGTTTGCTGATCTGTGCCTGCTGGGTCAGGACACGGATACTGCGGCAATATTCCAAATTCAAAGCACTGATGTGTTCAACACTTGCCAAGGCAGCAGCGCCAATGCCAATTCGATGGTGCTGTTCAGCGGCAGCTCTGCGAACGAGCAGCAACAACAGCTAGAGAATATTTTGCTAAACAACATAAGCAATAATTCACATTATATACTAAATACCCCAGTGGACCACAATCAGCAGCAGCAACAGCAGCAGAACAACAACGGCAACAGCTTGGCCACCCTACAGAATCTGATGACACCAAACAACAATATAAACAACAACAATAACAATCTCAACAGCTCTATTTCCATGCTGCGAGGTGGTGGCGGCGGTGGCGTTCAACAGCAGCAGAACACCAATTCAAGTATGATGTTGCTCGAGGACACGCCTATGGGTTATGCAACGCATGATGCCCCCACGCAACTGCATCAACAGCACCCGCAGCAGTTGTATGATACCAACAGCGGCACACCGTTTCGGAAGCAATTTAAATATCTGTCTGCAATATCACCGTTAACTCCTAGCTTTGGCGTTATGCCGCTGACTAGTCCCTCCGATGGCGGCTCAGCTGTGTTGCAAGCCAATTTGAGTGTTTCTGCGTATTCGCCATTGCCCCAAATGCTAGTGGAGGTTAATCAAGAGCCAAAAATGATGGGGAAGAAATTTAAGGCGCATGTTGGTGGCCTCATCAATCGTCAGGAGAAGAGTAAACCCGCCGTTTTTACACAGGCTGGCAATATAACACCTCGTACGCCAAACAATGTGGTGGGCAACGGTCCACCCAATCCCAATGCGGCGGTGCGGCGTAGCTCGCGGTTATTTAGCAATTCGGCATACTCGGTCAAGGAGAACAACAAATCGCCCAACATCACAAATAACAATAAATTTGTTCAGCCCCGATCGCCGCCACGTAAAACCAAATCGTCACGCATGACCAAAATCTGTTTAAGCAACGAGCTCATTGATGAGAAGTCGCATCACCATCTCGCCGAGAAGCTGAGCGAAAAGCAATCACGCAAGGAGAAAGAAAAGGTGGAAACAATCACATCGGCTGCTACAGTCGGCGGCAACAATCAAACAGGAGTAAATAATCGCAACGCCGATGACGCCAAAGTCCTGCTAAACAATAGCTTAAATAATGCCCAAACACTGGCGCATCAGTTGCTAACCATGAAAAAGCAATCGGCAGACGGTCTAATGCTGCTTCTCCGCGATCTTGCCGAGGGCTACAAACTTCTGTCGTCGTTTCAATGCAAGGCGGCCATTATGCATCTGGAGGCAACTATACCAAAGCATCATCTGAACTCGAGTTGGGTGCAATCGCTGATTGGCTTGTGTCGCTATGAGCTGCGTGACTACGAAGCTGCTGTGGTCATATTCAAGCGGATACATGAAATGGAGCCACGTCGCCTGGAGTACATGGAAATCTATTCCACATCCCTATGGCACTTGCAAAAGGAGGTGGAGCTGTCGGCCCTTGCGCAGGACCTGATTGGGCAGGATAAGCGCAGTCCGGTTACGTGGTGTGTGGCTGGCAATTGTTTCTCACTGCACAAGGAGCACGAGACGGCCATTAAATTCTTTAAGCGTGCCGTGCAAGTGGATCCCGACTTCGTTTACAGTTACACGCTCCTGGGCCACGAACTGGTACTTACCGAGGAATTTGACAAGGCCATGGACTATTTTAGGGCGGCAGTTGTACGCGATCCTCGGCATTATAATGCCTGGTTTGGCATTGGCACTATTTACTCCAAGCAGGAAAAATACGAGCTGGCCGAACTGCACTATCTCAAGGCACTCAAGATCAATACACAAAACTCGGTAATTTTGGTGCACATTGGAGCGATGCAGTTCTTTATGCAGAAAAAGGATTTGGCACTGCAAACGCTAAATACGGCAGCTACGATAGACCCGAAAAATCCGTTGGCCCGTTTCCATCGCGGCTCAATATATTTCTCGTTGGGTAAATATCAAGAGGCATTGCGCGAGCTGGAGGAGCTGAAGGAAATTGTGCCAAAAGAGTCGGTTGTGTTTTATCTGATTGGTAAAATACACAAGACGCTGGGCAACATGGATTTGGCATTGATGCATTTCAGCTGGGCCACCGATCTGGATCCCAAGGGGGCCAACAATCAAATCAAAGATGCCTTCGATTCAATGGCGCATCCCAATTGCTGTCCAGCAAATGACAATGCTCTTGATGTTGACTTTGAACCAACATCGGAGCGTTCCGACGACTCAACCCAGGCGCAGCAGGATGTTAGCTACGACAGCGACTACTAGAAAATGTCTCCAAGTCTGAGCGCTTGTATATAATTACATAATTAATACATACATATTTGAAGGAAAAACAAAAACCAATTATGAATTATATTGAAGTTTAGATAACGATTAGATTTAGGTTATTTATAACAAAAACAAAAAATAAGATGAAAAAGGTTTAAACAATTCACTCTGTCTCTGTGCACTCTGAAAGTCTTAGGCAACAAACAAAAATAATATACATTATATACCAATTACCAACTAAATTATACAAAATACAACAATTTAAATGATCGCTTAAGTTAAAAATCAAATCAAGAAAATCAAATGCAAATTCAAAGAAAACAATCAGTTTAGTTTCAAAAATGGGCGCGCAGTGACGCTGCCCACTTTCGATGCTCGATTGACGAAATTAATTGTAATCGATATTAGCTTGAGATTTGCCACTCGATGTGAATCAGGATCTAGATGATGCTTTCGCATTTGATTACTTAAATTAAACCTAAAGGCGTTGTTTGGGGATGCGTCACTGCAGCTCCACATGATAAATGACAAAATAATATACAAATTAACCTACAATTTTACAAGATTTTGTTGTAAGTTTATATGGACATGGCTTTCCTACTAGCTCCACATCCGCTTCGCTAGACAAGTCAGGCGACTCATATCGCGATTGCTGCAGTTCATCCAGAGTCAAGCGCTCAGTTAACTCCAAGACGTTGCGCAGGCGCTCGACTTTAACGCCCAACATGAATGCAATGTCGGGCAGCTGAGATTCCAGCACTCGATACTGGCGTGGCAATGCTATATTCAACGCATCTCGAATTTTCCTTGTACCAAACACCTCGGTTAGTGATTCACTTAAAGATGGCGTCGTTGAACCCCAAGATTCAACATTCGGTGGGGATGGTGAAAGCTGCTCGCTGTCCGTGGATATCGAATCAGAAATTTTGTTTGATTCATTAACAATTGTTGCAGAGCTGACACGTTGTAATTCACCCGAAAGAATGGTTCCAGTCGCATATTTCGGTGCCGATGGCAGCTGATGTACAAAATGAGCTGGGTAACGCTCCGGCAAAAGAGTCTGAGTCAAATTCATACACTGATATGAATAAGATTGAGTCGAGTTGGTGACCACTGTAGACACCTTGGGTGGGATTTCAGCTGCCAATGGAGTAGTCGTCGTGCACTGCAAAATTCCTGCTGAATCTCTCTCTTTTCCGGCGTTAGAAGTCAGAATTGGTTCTTGTCCTAGTTGAATGCTTTGCACAGGCTTTACTTGGCTTTTAGAATGCTTTCGATTAGTCCTGGATTTAGACTTGGTTTTGCCTGGCATTGATATTACTCTCTGCTGGGAGCTTAGTTCAA